GAAATTTTTAAATGTCCAGTTCTTGTTGGAATATATTCTATATTCTCTTTCAGGATAGAAATTATTTTTGTTATTTTTTGAAGTTTTTTCCTGCTCCTGGCATTGTCTCTTTACTTCAAGTTCCTTTCCTGTGTGTTTTTTTTTAAATTTCTGCCTGTCATATTAGTGACTTTTATCTAATATTTGATGACCCTTTATATTGTAGAATAAAGTACAGAATAACTAATTAGATCCTCTGTGTGAGGTTGGAACTTGTTGAATGGCTGTGTCATTATAGGGGAATTGGACACAACTCTGTTTGTTGGGAGAGAATGATTAGTATCAGTTCCTTTTTCTTGGACTTGCCAATTTGCACAGAGAGATATCCTTCCCTCTCCTTCCTGAGGGTTGTAAGTCTGGCACTCATTTCTTAGAGAATAAAAGAAGGGGAGATCTCATTATCGAGTATGTAGACTGTGTATAGCTTTTTAGATTAATTTCCCCTTTTTAGCATGCACCATTTTCTTTGGTTGTATCTCGTATTTCTTCATCCAGAGTCTTTCTGGTTTAACCTTTCCAGAGTAAACTCTCCAGTCTTCTGCCAGGATGAGTGTCAGGTATTGTTTGGCTACATGGATTAAGGGAATGGATCTGTGGTCGTTAGACAGACTTTCAGTCTTTCCTTATCTTTTTTAGCCTCATCTGCATCCCTGCCTTGTGAACTGCCTGACCTCTTTATTTCTTGTTTTTCAGGGGCTTATTGCAGATCAACTTGCTTCTTAGTTTATCACCCAAAGGCACTTTTCTCTGTTCTTCTAAGTCTACTCATTGCTACTTGTTCATCAAATATCCATCTTGCAAAATTTTGTTGACAGCTTTTGCCTCTCTGAGATCTTTATATTCAGCTCTTGTCTTTTCATTTTAATTTCTTTGTTAGTTTAGGGCCCTGAAAAAATTTCTTGACAGTCTTTTTGTGGAGGTTAAGGGTTGAACAGAGGTAAACATGGTTTGACTCTTTAATCTTTTACTTCCACACAGATATATAGATCATTCTCATTAGTTCATCTTTTAATTTATAGGTGATAATTATAGGAGTGATCATAAGTAGATTACTGAAAAGTAGAAATTTGACACTGAGGGAAAGGTCTCAATGAGGCTATAAGAATTATGGCAGGCAAGAAAGTTGGTGGAAAAAGAATTAGGGTTAATGGTGTATTGTAGGATTAAAAATATGGTTAGGGGTCGATGTTTTATAGAAAAGTACTAAAAGGAGAAGAAATAACATTGCATTATTTCATATTTAATTATATTCCAAAAATTTGTAATGATTTTTAGATAATTTTATTGATAGTACTATGTAAAATTGTATTTCAATTACAGTGCATTAGGGATTTCCACTTCCCTTCCTCTAGTGGACTATGACAGCAGTATTTGAGTACTTTGTAAAGCATTTTTTCAAATGTAAAGTATTTTCACTGTCTTTGTGATTATCTTGACTCAAGTCGGCAATGTATATATTCTATCAAAATATCGTACGCTCTTCCTAAATTAAATGTTCTGTGTAAAGTTCAGCTGAGTTTTCAGAGTTAAATACCTTGATCAATAACTACAGTTATTTTGGCCTCCATGAGTAACAATAATAGTGACTTGCCTTAAGTCACTTATTTACAAGGTAAGTAGGTAATACTGTCTCTATCTGAAGTCACATTTATTTAGCTTCAAAGACTTTGCTCTTTTTGTTTTACTATATTGCTTCTCAAATAGGAGATTTCCTTTCACAATTTCAGAGAGCAGTGTTCCTGTAGAACACAATTTGAATGGCGCCCTGAGTTGTATAATGCCAAGACTTAGCTCCTGCTACCTTTCTATTGCTTACATTTGGGGCATTTTATAATTTTAGATTGATGGTGGAGTGGAAAGAAACTAAGATTATTTTTTACTAGCAACTTTTCTCCATTATCAAAGTCTATAAATAGATGACTAATTTCTTCTTTTTAAAAATCTGAGCTTGTGGCACTGAAGACAAATTACATTATAAAAAAACTTTTCTTAAGGAGAAATGGTAGCATAATGAGTTAGTTATTAAAACAAGTTTTAAAATATCTGAGAAATGGCTGGGCTCAGTGGCTCGTGCCTATAATCCTAGGGAGAGGCTGAGGCGGGATGATTGCTTAAGGCCTGGAGTTTGAGACCAGCCTGAGCAAGAGCGAGGCCCTGTCTCTACAAAAAAATGGAAAATTAGCTGGGCATGTTTGCACAAGCCTGTAGTCCCACCTACTTGGCGGGCCGAGGCAGGAGGATTGGTTGAGCCTGGGAGTTTTGAGGTTGCTGTGAGCTATGATGACCCCACCGCACTTTAGCCCACTGACAAGAGTGAGATCCTGTCTCAAAAAAAAAAAAAAAAGTCTGAGAAATATAATGACAATAAAAATTTAGCACTGAGTTCTTGATAGTATTAGTCTAAACCAATATGCTTTATACAGGTATAAAGATTCTTATTAGAGGAGATTTCAGGCAACTTCTTCTAAGTTACATATAACACAAATGAGGTATTAACAAAGACCAATTATTTATCATTCAAGGTAGAATACTAAGCTGGAAACTGTAAAAGAAGCAGTATTATAAAATTACTTACAAACAAAACCATTTGGCCTATTCAGATTCTTTTGCTTTTGTATATACCAGAAACTAATTCAGTTCTTTTGCTTCTGAACCCATTAGCAACTCTTGAATCTTTTAGTAGATCTTGTTTGTTCATAACTATATAAATTTCCTATTTTTTTTTTTTTGAAAAACTGGTATAGAATGAGAGTCCTGTGAGGGCTTGAGGGTCAGGGGAGGGTATTATTAAGTTCTATATCTTCATCATCTAACAGTGATTGCAACAGGGTAAATTATCCACTGATTATAATTACTTGCAACCACAAAAGATGTTAAATAGGTAGGGGAGCTCAGCATTTGTAAAATGGAAATAGTAACGGCTACCTCAGGTTTTTTTGAGTGTGATAAATAAAAAAACTAGGCATAGTGCATAGAACTTAGGAAATGCTCAGTGAATGTTAGGTGCTGTGATAACTTGTACTTCTATTTCTATGATGATTATATTAGTATTGTTGGCATCATTTAATTTTCTGAGGTGCTAAAATTTGAGACATGAGTTTTAGAAGCTGATAAATATGTCTTAGAAAAATGCATAAATACATATATTTGAGTTACCATTTTATAGGTTTCATAGACTCCTTAAAGTCTACCATAGATACTAGGTTCAGAATTCCTCCTCTGAGCGTAATGGATACCACTTCAAAGGGAAACAACACAGGTGGCAAATATTGGAAAATAGCAAACAATGAATATAGAATTATATAAAGACCAAATCGAAATTAGCAAATTAATAGCTCCTTCTGAAGGAAGGGTTAGTATGGTATATGGTGTTTCTCAGGATGACATCCTCTAACCATTTGTAAAACATTTAATATATTAGTTAAATTGCAGATTTCTGGGCCACAGCTCAGGATAACTCAGTGATGATCTCTTGGAGAAGTTATGGGTCTTCTTGAACACACTAAAGTTTAAAATCAAAGATTTTAGAATAGTGTTTACTACATCTGTCATAGAAAGTTTATGGTCTTAATTATTCATACAGAGTCAAAGAAGCTTCAAATATGAAGGATAGAATATATTTTAACCAAAATGTAGAATGAGAAAAAGAAAGGAAATTATGTTGATAGATGTTCATGAATATAGGCAAAATGAGTGGTAAAGTCTTCTGTGATGGGATCAGATTGTGTTAAACACTTTAGCTCTTTCACTCAGTAACTGAGGTGCTTTGAACAAATTGATTTAACTTTTCTAATCCATTGTATCCTCATCTGTAAAGTGAGAATAATTATAATATCTATACAGTAAGCCTGTGGTAAGGATTGAATGAAATAATAGGCATAGAACATACTGAGTCTTCAGTAAATGTTAATTTATTAGAGTAGTTCTTCTTTTCTTTCTTCTCTCTTCTTCTCTATCATCACGACCACCCACCACCACCATCATCACAGTGTTTGTCAATACTGTCAGTATAATGTTCTTAAGGCTTCTCTGATTATATAATTCTTACCTACCTTTCATCACCAAAATGAGGTTCTCCTTTTTAAATGAAGTTTTCCCAACCACTTATTGATGGTAATTATTTTATATCCTTCAACAAGTAGTACATAGTAGAGTTGTTAATATTCACTTTTTTCTTAATTGATAAACATCTCTTTGCTTATTTATATAGAGCATATCAGTATTGTTTATAAGCTATTGTATTTTAACTTAGGAGCTGTTTTGAGCTATATGTTGAATATACCTAATCTGAAAATTTGAAATCCAAAATGCTCTAAAATCTGAAACTTTTTGAGTGCCAACGTGACGCCCCAAGGAAACTCGTTGGAGCTTTTCAGATTTTGAGTTTTTAGATTAGGGATGCTCTACTGGTAAGAATAGAATGTAGATATTCTAAAATCCAAAATAATCCCAAATTCAAAACACTTTCGTTCCCAAGCATTTTAGATAAGGGATACTCAACCTGTATTTTGTTTTTATCTCTTCACTCCACCTGATCAAGATATTTCGGGGAGTTTGTTTACTCAGGTAGTTTTCTGTTTAAATGCTTCTGCCTAAATGAAACTTAATTTATCAGTTGAATTTATTTCAAAAAGAAAAATCTTAGTCTGTATTCTAAAACTAAATATGATTTTTAAACTGTCTCTTGTTTTTTAAACAAATATTTGTGCATTTACTTTTATTTTGTGAGCTTGACTAGTCAAGAGCTGACTATATAAGTATAGTTATAAGAGTTCAGCCCATTTATTTTAAAATTGTGTCCTTTCACCTCCTAAACACTGAACTATGAAACCTAACACAAATACTGTAAGAACATCTGAGGTAGATAATTAAAGTATAATTAAGTTTAAATGCCTTGGTGAAGGAATATAAAAATTATTTAAATTCAATCGGCTAGTACATTTGCAGTTTTCTTTTATTAGGTGTGAAATCTAAGAATCCCCTGCCAACTCTTGAGGGCTCAATCCAGAATGTTGAATTGAAGTACTGCAGCACATCATTGGTCAAATGTGCCTCTGGGACCATGGGATCAATAAAAATTTGTGCCAAAGCCCCAGGTATGTGCAGCTGGACCGTGTAAAACTTTATTGCCTGTATAGGAGAATTGGCCTTGCATTTTACAAGGAGCGTTACTGAAACAAGAATTTACTCATTGTTCCTATGAATCAGAGGTTTTAAATTTTTACTTAAAAATTTTTTAATCATGCCAGGATGATACTCCTTGACTTTAATAAATTAATTTTTATTTAAGGAGAAAAACTTTACATAGTTTTAAGAACAGTTATAAGGGAGAAAAATTGAAGGAATGTTTATTCTTATGCGTTTTGGAGGGGGATAGGTGGTATAGATACATATGACACAATAATTAAAATGTTGTTAGCATAATGGAATAAAAAGAAAATCCCATTGTTTTAATTTAGGGTTATAATTGACTTCACCTTCCTACCAATATTTTCTTTTATAATATTTTTCTTAAACTATTTGTAATTTTTCCAGCACCAACTAAATTTCAAGATAAGCCTATAAAGGTATAGATTCCATCGAATTTTTAGAAGACAATGTGTTCGAGTTGTTTCCTTTTATAAACTTTTTTACATTCTTTAGCGAAATGTTAAAACTCAATTTTAAGAGTTAAAAATGCTTTTAATTTATCAGACTCCTTATAATTAAATATACAACTAAAAATACCAACTATAATTGAAATGTTATATTATGGTGTTAATATATTTTAATATCAAACATCCTCAACTACTCATATATTTTATTTAATAAGATTTGTTGTTGTTGTTTATAAATATTTTATCCAGTAGACAGTGGAAAAGAGAAGTTGATTCCTTTGCTTCAGGGTCCTTCTGACACTAAAGACCTTCATTGCACCAAGTGGCTCAATGAGAGTAGAAAGCCAGAATCTCTCTTAGCTCCAGATTTGATAGCCTTCACAATTCAAGTTCCACAGTATATGGACTACTGCCACAATTCTGGTAAGTACAAACATATCATTATTCCATTATTTTGCATTTTCTTCAGAAAGGCTTTTAAAATTGAGCATCTTTTTTTTTTTTTTTTTGATGATTTTATGTATCATTGGGGTACTCCCTGCGGTTGTACTTTTTTAAAATTCAAGTGAAATATTTTGGAACATTTTTGATAATTTAAATGTTTTTATAAACAATAATGATTTTATTTTATATGAGAAAATTTAGCTGTATGTATAGTGTTTACCCTCAAATTCCTATCTATAAAGTACAACTAAGTTTTAAAATATAGCATATCTATCTCATATAATACATATTTTTTTGGGTAGCACTTTGTAACCCAAAGTTTGTCATATTAAATTAGCTGTTTGGGCCTCCTGTAGTTTTGTAGAAAGGAAAAGATTTCGATGTTGAAACTGAGAAAAAACTCAGCAGTCATGATCTTATTTCTTAGAGCTTTATTTTTTTCTGGTAGCACTTTGCCTAGAATCTGTTTCATTTTATTCAGTGCCATAATAGCAGAGCCATGTCTCTCATATTGACAGGAAATACCAGAAGGATCAATAAAGACTGGGGGCAAAATAAAGGTATGATAGGCGTAGAGACCAATATCAGCCATGAGTTCACTTTGCCAATATATGGTTAGTAAAGCCAAGGCGGCCAGTCAATGAGGCTGGCAATAAGATAGTAATATAGATTGTTTTAAAGGTAAGGGATCTGAATTTTTTCTGTAGAATTAATTGGTCAGTGAATAGTTTCAAATAGCTGTCTAAGAATATAGCTGTATTAACATTATTCAGTAAGTACTGTAGCTTATAGAAAGTATGTTAAGCATTGCTAAGTTCAAAGTAGAAACTATGAAAAGATTTGTAATTAACCAACTAGACAGAGACTATATGGAGGTGAATTTTAAAGCAATGCACAACTGCACATATGCAGGGGCACAAAAACATTTAAAAGATGAGTTTTGTTGCAGTATTGTTTACAGCTGAATAGCATCCACATTAGAAAATTGAAATTATTTGAAAGATGAGTATTTGAAAGATGAGTCTGAGGATGCCTGTCAGCATCCTTCTAAAGACAACGCTCATCAAAAAGAAGATATCAGCCTGGTGACAATGGTCCTGAAACCATAAAGAAAGAATGATGTGAGGATGACTCCAAGACCCAAACTAGGACTGTGCCTGTGGATAAAATATTTTACCCTTCTTTTAAGGCAGGGATTGGTAAACATTTTAATAAAGAGCCACATAGCTAATCTTTTAGGCTTTGTGAACCACAATAGCCTCTGTCCGAAGTATTTGATTCTGCTGTTGTAGCACTAAAATAGCCACAGGCAATAGTTGAATGGACGTGACTATGTTTCAATAAAACTTTATGAAAACAGGAAGTGGGACTATTTTAGGAAGAAGGGATTGTTGGTTAAATAAACATCCTGCCTTTGTTAGTGCCTATTTAATCATGTTCCTTAAATATACTGTTTAGTAAATTCCTTCATATAATTATCTACATAGTAGTTTTTGTTTTCAAATCATCAGATTATTAAGATGTTATTAAATGATCAGACTGTTCAGTTACAATTTTGAGACCCAAGAAGGGGATAATCTTATTTGAATCTGCCACATATTCGTGAGTTGGACAAGGACTCCTAATTTTCTTTTTGCTACAATTAGAATGAATCAATGAGTAAAACTTATTTAAATAATAATCTGATCTTTCTCCTAACAATAGTTATATTATTGTTTTTAATTTAAAAGCAATTCTAGAGTCCCAAAATTGTATTTGCATTTTTAGCTTTTTATATGGATCTGAAAGTAAACTGGTACAAGAAAAATTATGTGTGACACCTATGATATTTATAGGGTAAAGTTTTACATTTTTTTCTTGTCGTCAAGGAAATTTACCTAATTTTCAGTATTCATGTTGTGTTTAGTGATGTATTTATGGATTTGTGTGTAAAACTTTAGTGTGATCATGTATTTAGTACTTTGAAAATATTCCCTTGCGTATGTTTCAATCCTAAAACATAACTTGTTTTAACTTAAATTACGCTCATATACTTTATTTAGGACATATTTAAATTTTAGTTTTCCATCCACCTTGGAACTGCCACCCACATTCATGGCTTAGGTATTTATGATATGGTTTAGAGAACTTAGAAGTACTATTTTTTAAGCTAGTTTTAAGATATATTTGATTAATCTTACATTTGTGTAACAAGATTTAAATTGGGTGTGTATATATGACTGATGTTATGGACAAACATAAATAAATCGTAAATGAGGAAATAATTTATTAACAGTCTTTTAAGACTTTATTGAACTATCACCCTCTCAGCAAGTACCTTCCTGGCCACTGTATCTAATTTCTCTTTCTCTCTCTCTCCCTCTCTCTCTCTCTCTCTCTCTCTCTCTCTCGCTTACACAAACACCGACACTATGCTTCTTATTTCTGTATTCTTTAGTTTTTCTTAGTGCTTATCAGAGTCTACCATACTTTATATGTTACTGACCTATATTATTGATGTTTTTCTTCTGCTATTAGAATTTTACGCTTCATTTGGGCAGGAATTTTTGCCTTTTCTTGGTCACTATTATATTCTCAGTGTCTAGAATAATATGCTGCACATAGTATGTTAACAATAAATATTTAGTGAATGAATGAGCAAATAAGGGATGATTACATTTACTTTTCATTTGTTTTTGAGGTTGGAGCATCAAGTGGAAATAAGACTAAACAGGAATCTTTCCTTATGTTTAAGGAAAAAAAGATGCTGGGTATTTAAACCTTTCTAGATGAACAATTAAAGAAAAGCATGAGCAATCCTTGTTTGTGTTTTTACAAATAGATAGATGTCCAGGTGAGGTTGTTAATGAACTTTTCCCATCAGTTTATAGAATTTGAATGATGATCATACTAACTGGCTTCTAGGGAGGAAATAGAGGCCCAGAAGTTAAATTAGACTTGTCCCAAATACCTAGTAATTCAGACTCCGAACTAGAATCTTGGGCTTCTGATTATACCATTTTTTCCACTGTCATAGGCTGTTTACCATTTTGTCTTCTTAGCTTAGGATACACATTGCTAAGCATCATATCCTTTAGTTTAAAATTCTTAACTTTGAGGAGTTCTTTTCTTTACTTTATATTAAGCACTGTCAAAAGAGCCATGCTTTCATGATCTCACAGGATTGCTTTGTCTTTGAAGTCTCAGCAACTCCCTTTGTACTTTTCCCTCTTCTGCCTTTGATTGCATTCTGCACTTGACCGACTCTGATTAACAGTAAAGGAGCTGAAAGCTCTTGTGGGAATACAGTGTGCCAGCATGCTTTCTATATTCGTAGTCGCTATTCAGGGAAATCATTTAATGACACTAACATTTCTTACATTTGTATAGATATTAGAGGTCAAACAGAGAAATAGATGCTTCTCTGACTCCTTCATAGGTAGAAGCGCCTGTTGACTATAATTGATGTAACATTTTAAGATGGGTTCTAAATATTTTTCTTTCCTTCTCTTTTAAATATAGATTTTGTCTCTCCTTTATATGCTATATTTTTCCCTTGAGTTATAGCAGGTTCTGCTTGCTAAAAAGTTCTGAATCTTTGTTAATCATGGTATTAATGTTTAAATAAATTTTGCATTATCTATTATTTAGGAATAGAAAATGATCACAAAGTACTATCAATTTAGTATCAAAAGAGCTTATGCCATCATTTCAATTTCTAAGCCAGTGTTAGGAGTCCTCTTTACGCATCTCCTTCTCTCTATTTGCTCCAGCTCTACTGGCCTTTTTTTGGTTTCTCAATGGTGATTATGCTTTTACATATGCTGTTTTTTCTATTTGGGATTCTCACAACTTTCTATGCTTGTTTGATTCCAATTCAGTCTTAAGATCTTAGCTCAGTTACTACCTCTTCAAGGAAGCCTTCCCTGACTCTGTCTCTCCCCTCCCTCCCTTCACACTCAATTAAGTACCTCTGTTACATTCTTCATAGCCCATATGACAAGAGTATATTTATACAGTCTGTTTTTTCCACTTGACTATGAGTTCCATGAGGGAAGAGTTAGCCACTGGTTGCTTATCATTTTATCTCCAGGGCTTAACATTGCCTGACACATAAGAAATTCTTGAGAAGTCATTTGTTGAATGAATGAATATTTATGACAGATGATCAAAGATATGAATGTATTTGATAGATACATATTATAATAAGCTCTTAATACATATTAGCCTCCTTCCCCTTCCTCTCCCTATGTTTCTGCCTTCTCTTACTTCTCCTGCGTATGTCTACCACTGGAGAAAGTACCCACCAATGTCTTCCTCTGTTAGACAGTTCTAATTACTAGTAGATTCTTTGTTCGTTGGGCTGTAACTTCCATTTTTTGGTCTAATTTTACTTTTATAAGTGACATGAAATAATGTATCAGCCTCAAATATACCTGACAATACTTGCTGTCTTATCTTTTTTCCCCCATTCAGTATTCATCCTCTTTAGTCTCTGGCATTTACAGCTATACTCATACCCTTTCTGTTGAAACCTTATTCTCTCTTGGCTTCAGGTGTTAAGAGACAAGTCTCTATAGATCTTTTGCTTTTTTTTTTTGCATTTCTTGTGAATGGAGGCACCAACCGCCCTTTGTCTGGACTATCTTTTCAAAGATGTTTGTATAGTGATCATCCTTGTAAATATTGTGTCTCACTCTGGAGCAAACAGAAGGCATGTTTACTGCCTGTTATAAAATACTAGGTTCCTTAACTCAGGGTTCATTTCCCATTATGTAATTCACTGCATGCTCAGGTATCCATCTAGACACATCTGCCTGTAAGACTAGTGGGCAAAGGGACCTGATGGAAATATGTTGCTATCCTGCTGCTTCCTGTGCCATGAGTAATAAAGTCCTTAGTCTGTGACTCTGGAACCTTGTCTTCTGCAGCATTCGTGATAACTGTGGTAGGATAAGATTTTAGGCCCTTTACAATTTTTGACACCAGAACAATGTGAT